TATTTGTTGTTACTATTCAATAAATTTATTACAATCAGTAGAAATTAATTCGGAACGTTTCGACTTTACAAAGTCATCATCAGCCGCATAAACCCCAATCTAATTAATAAGCTTACATATCAAACGCAAAAAAACCAAATCAAAATCGAGTGTTGTAATTTTGATTTGGTTTTTTTGCGTTTGATATATAAGCTTATTAATTAGATTGGGGTTTATGCGGCTGATGATGACTTTGTAAAGTCGAAACGTTCCGAGTTAATTTCTACTGATTGTAATAAATTTATTGAATAGTAACAACAAATATAGCTCATTATTTATTTGACCTGGGAAGAATATTTATTTTGTATAATTTTAATTTTATATGAGCTGAGAATATTTTTAATTTTTCACTCAGAAAATTCTGATTTATTTATTATTAACTAATATAGAATTGCTATTAACGCAACCAGACTTTTTTCAATGTATAAGTATGTATACACACACACATTTAGTATAGTTTATTTATATACCGATTATTTTTATATTACAACGTATATATAAAATACATGATTTGTGCATATATAGATAATATGTATATGTACTACATATCTCGCGAAAAAACGAAAACGTGCTTTATAGAGAGGGACGGCAAGAGTTACGATAAGTTATTGCAGCAGAGTTATCGATATCGGATACGACCTATTAAAAGATAGAGAAACGACTTTGTTATTATGCAGCGTGTTCTCGCAAAATGTACGTATCATTGTCGCGATAGGAGAGTGTCCTGAAAAATTGTGCCTTGTATTTCGCGTAAAACGGTATTTCGCCATTTTGTAATTGTAGGTCGATTTGTCATGCTTGTTGACAATAATGCGTGCGTTAACATAATACGAGTATGCGTTTACGAATCGAATGTGCGTGGGGCTGCAAATTTTCGCTACCGACACGGCGCGATTAATTACAATCGCATTAAGCTAATTTGTTCCTAAATGAATAACGTGTCGCAACTGCATGTTGTGAGAAACTTGATGTAAACTTTATAATATTAATTCGATCTGAAAGATATTAAGTAAATAAAAAATAAACGAAGTGTCGAAATACATAAGGAATATATACAAGAAAATATATGGAGAGATATAATTATATTAATATATTTTTATAACTTTTATATTTAAAGATGTAATTTATATATTAATGCAACTTATACTTTGTAACTTATATTTTCAAAAAATATTAGTGCAGGCAAAGCATACATTTTATCTTTTTTGTTATTAATTATATTGAAAAAAAGATTTGGTAATAACTACTAAATATTAAGTGAAATAATTTCAATCAAATATTCATATAAACATAAATATGTTATAATATAATAATAAAAAAAATTATCCTTTTCTAAATATATTTAATAAGTATTCATATATCAAACATAATAATGCAACTGAAGTTATTTCGCTCGACGTCTGACTACTATTTAGAATCTTCCTTCTCAATATATTTTAAAATAAAGACAAATTCGGCGTTGCATGCGAATTCCTTCGAGAAACATCAGGAGGTTTGAAAAATCGAAAGTTAATTATTCTCGATAATATCGTGCATTATGCAACTCCAGTGTATTGCTCAATCTCATAGGCAGCCCGATCTGACTGTATTACTGTTCGTGCGTTTATGCGTCAAGGTTTGACGAAATCGTAATATCATGAGAGCAATCGCATGAGCGCTCGATGACGGGAGAAAGTAGGAGTCATGAAGAAGTCGTGTTTCGCATCCACCTCGAATCGTCGGTCTCGATTCTGACAGCCGGATTAGTCCGATCTGACATGTGCACGCGGCCGCGAGCGGCAATTCTTGGCATTGAAGAGCAAAGTAGGAAAAACGGGATACCCCGATTTGATTATCATCACCTACACGTGCTCGTGTTGACCTTCTCTCTCTCTCTCTCTCTCTCTCTCTCTCTCTCTCTCTCTCTCTCTCTCTCTCTGTCTTTTCCCATCTCGCTTTGCTCGCATTAATAGAACCAATGTTTTAAAGAAGCTACATCGTGACTTATAGTCTGGTAGTCGGGTATTTCAGAATCGTCGAACGAGACATTAGCGTCAGCGTCGATAATGACGTTTAATCTTGATAGATGATTCTAAAATTTTTTATCTGCAATGAAACGTAACGTAAATTATTGCATTATGCATCCCGTGAGACGTAGTTTATCACGATTTGTTGTTCATTATGATTCTATATACATATTCTATTTTATTTTTATTTAATATGCATATATATTTCAAAGAAAAAAAATCTTGTAAAGCGTATAATAATATATAATTTTTTTTCTTTTGCAAAATCTCGAATAATATTATTTTATTTTGCGTATACATATTTATATTTATAACAGACACTTTAAACGTGATATAATTTAACTCGTCGTATAATATATTTCATATATAACTACAGTATCATAAGAACTTAATGTATTAAAAATACATGCTAACTTTAAATTGCTTCTGTCCATTCATCATTTATTAGAAGTTTGTATTTATTCTTTTTCATTTATGATTATAAAAAAGATAGAAAGAACTGCAACGATATTTATGTAAGAAGAGCATTTCCTGCTTTCTTTTCTGGTATTTTTCTAGCACCTATGCATTTTTGAAGGTAATGCGGTTTGTTACAGAGGGATCGAGCTGTGATTTTGATCGGAATAATGCGAAGCCTGGATAGGCTATCGGGTAGCGACCAAGACTGCGGTGATCGGGAAATGTACATCGACCTGGACGACGCCTCCGTTGACTCGCTTACCGGCAAACGTACTCGCCACCATGTCGCGGAGGTATTTCACCTATTCTCCTCCCTCTCTCTCTCTCTCTCTCTCTCTCTCTCGTTTCCCTTTTTATCGCACTCTGCGCGTTATCTCGCCCCAGGCTTTTAAAGTTCCGTAAGCATTTACACCGAATAAGAAAAGATACTCGACCCACATAATTCTTTATTTATCATGCCGATTTGATAAGACTCAGGCTTTTCCGACGCTTCTTGATTTGTAGCACGACGAAATAGATAATTTGCAATGAGACTCGAATACAATGTTTAGCTGAATACGATTGTTACCAACAATACGATACATAAACAAAATTAGTTGACTGCGACCGAATTCGATGAATGGGTAATAAATTAGTTTTAAAAGCAAAAACCATTGGATGTAATACGTGGAACAAATGTTTCTCATTATCAGCTATCCAAATTGAGTAAATTATTTTTTTTATCAGCATTATGCAGCACCGAAGAAAATTGCAAACATTTTGTCTATCAGCATTTATTGCTTTAAATATCCTCGAAACGCATTGTTAAAAGGAGGGACAAGAGGGTAAAGAGGTTAAATAAGTTCTTTTGTTGATGAAAATAGCACGGTAAGATCTTTGGTTAGATTAGATTAAAAAATGCTATTATTATGTAAGACCTTATCATGCATTAATGTAATCACTTTTGCTTGTGTCGATTATATTCGGATATAGACGCACCTATGGATAACAATGTTCTTTAAAATACATTTGTGAGATAATCATTTTTTCTTATAAAAAATAATTAAAAATGAATATACTAAGTTAACACTCAATTTAGAATAAATTAAAAACTCAATCACTTTTTAAAGCATTACTGAAATCAATTCAACGAAACAAACAATTTACATCATACTTATATTTTCGTGTCATATAATTAAAGCTAAAAAAGACGCACTGTATAAGATATTTATAAACGCTCTGCGTGTTCTTTGAATAAAGTGAGAATCGCAAATACATCAGCACAATTTTCGAATGTAAATTATTTTTTTGTGAGAAATTTTTAAATGGAGATTCGCTTGTATCTACAATATCTACATCGCGCTGTGCTATGAAACATCAGAGCAAATATTTAACGAAGATCTATTCTGTTATGAACCGAACGAAAACAGGTGGGCGAGGAGAGCGACAGCAGCGGAAGCGAGAGGAGTCCGAAACAGGCGAAGAGAAGAAATCGCGGCAACGCGCCGCCGACCACGAGGAGACGGAAAAGCGGAATTTCCGCGCGCGAGAGGAACTTGAGGAGGCTCGAGAGTAACGAGAGAGAGAGAATGAGAATGCACTCCCTCAACGATGCCTTTGAGGTAATAGTTTATTGCTTCCTCGAACAGCTTTCGCTTCGTCGCGTCGTCGCGGCGACGAGCGCGACGAACTTTGCTAAAAACTTTCGAAGAACGAGAAACTTTCGCTACGGAACATTAAATCGCGAACAATAAGACTGAAATTAATGAAATATAATCGATTTTTATTCCATAAATACGTCAACCTGCAGGATTGTTGAGCAACAAAAATGTTATATTAAGATACTTATAGGTGGAAAAAATTAGACCAATAAGAATAAAATTAAATAAGATAAAGAAAGAATAATTATTCTTATTATATCAAGCACTAAGGTCCACTTTGACTGAAAGTAAGATTCTTTCTTTTATTTGAAATACTTTAGCAATAATATTTGAAAAATATTGTAGTTAAAAAATATTGTGTAATATTTTGTACTGATATTTGTTTCTAATACTAAAAAAAGACAATATTTAACTCGATTGTATTACAATCATTACTCATTACTACGCAAAACGCGTTGTTAATCTGCGTCAAACAACAAAATGCACACGTTAGCAATATGTAAAAAATTGATTTATGTAGAAGATAAATGACGATAACTCGCAACTGCAGCTCTATCGGATAAGTAACTCTCTTATTGACTGATCATGCGTAGCATCGTTAAAAATGTATCAACTTTCGACCATATTTGATTAGATTGCAAGCTGTTATTTATCGCGAATGCGACTCGATGTAATAGATAGACTTTCAATCCACTTCTCCCGGTTATAATTTACAGCAATTACGCGAGGTAATACCACACGTAAAAATGGAGAGGAAGCTCAGCAAGATAGAAACGCTCACGTTGGCTAAAAATTATATAATAGCACTGACGAATGTCATATGCGAGATGCGCGGCGAAGAACAACCGTATACGTGAGTATTGTTCTAATCCAGTGTTTTGTTAAATCGCAACACAGCGTGAAATAATTATCCACTGTATTAGAATTAAACAATTCATATCATGAAGAACTGGGTAAATAATAAATAAAGAGAAAAATAGAAGAATGAGTACTGTAGATAAATATTTTATACAAGATGTTAAAGATATTAAAATAATATCAAAAAATAAATATTTTTATGAGATTTTTTATATTTTAAATATGTCAATATAAAATCTAAACTATTCTCTAAACTATTAATTTTTGACAATCTCAATATTTTTATATATAGAGAATAGAAGTATTATATAAAAAAAAAACACTGTGTGTGATTTAACTTAAAAAATGTGTGATATGAAAAATTTACTGCATGTATTATTTTTTATTTAAAAATTATAATTTCTTGAAACTTTTACTTATCTTCCTAAAATAGATGAAATCTCTGAAATATATAAAATATGTAATTAAAATGAAACATTCTCTGTGTATATTTAAAAAAATATTCTTTTTCAGATTTGTCGATGGTGAATGCGGTTCCAGTAGTGGTGATAGTACCGGCCAACTAGAATTAAGCGGAGGTGAACAACCTGACGAATCATCCCCCGCGTCGATTCACGAGACCAACAACAACAGTCTTCTCCATGAAGACTTAGAACGCAGGATCTAAAAAAATTCGATCTAAACGACATGTGTCGGGACACATACATGCACATACACGCGCACACGTACACGCACAGACTCTGTGATAAACTATCATATTAGTGCCTTTCGTAGAGACAGCAATCCGTGACGATTCGCTCATTACTCGCCATGAATCTTCGTAGATCGTCGTACGTTTTCGAAAAATTCGTGCAATAAAACGATGATTCCATAGGAACGCGATAAAATAAAAGAATAGAAAGAAGGAAAAACGAATAGAAAGAGAAAAATAAGACGAACATGTAATGAAGTATAAGATAAACGTAACGAAATATAGCAAAGTAAATGAAGAAAGGACAAGACAAGAAAAAGAGAAAAATAGAAAGAATACGCGTTTTTAGATACGTAATACACGGAACGTTTCCGATCTAGCGCATAATCTTTTTCAAAGAGAGATTTCTCGAAGAATCGAGATGTCCTTATATAGAAAAAGTTTTTCATAGAAAGCCATTATTTTTATAACTTAATTTCTATCTATTACGCTAGATAGAGAAATATCTTAACAGCCAAACCCCTAAGATTTTATTATAAATATATATATTATATATATTCGTCTAAAATGATTGAAACAACATTTTAGATATTATATTTTTCTTATATAGTTAAATTCCTGAAGTTTAAAGCTCGTTATTAAAAAAAAAACTGCTCAATTCTCACTTCCTTTTAATTCAAGAATGAATAATGCAAAATGAAGCAGGTAGCAAAATTCTGTTAGTCTATTTTCTTATCTAGGGCTGAAAGATAATGTACTTCTCCAAATATCTAAGTAATGACGTGTTCAGGTAGAATGTGCTTCTCGCTGTACATATAGAATATATCGAGAGAAAAAGAAACAGAGTGAGAGAGTGAGAGATAGAGAGAGAGAGAAAGAGAGCTGTGAGAAAGAGAGAGAGAAAGAGAATATATCCAGAAAATATTTATATTGTATGGCACATTAAATGCACCGAAAATGACGGTTGTGCAAATTCACATCGTGAGTTTTTTCTGTCGATTAAATTTCGATTAATTTATTCTTTTATCAACATTGTCGACTTTTAGTGCAAAATATTATCACGCTAGTTACAACTACTACTACTATTATTACTTTTATTCCTATTACTAATACTACTCTGTTACTATATTGCTACACTATTATATATTACTGCAATCATCACTCCTACTATTATTCCTACTACTATAACTGTACTATACAATTATCATTCCTATAGAATACCATTGTTACATGGTTAGAGATATTATCTCTCTTTTAATATTTTATTTCGATTAATATTCGATTATTTTAAAATCCTTTTGAAAGATTATTATTATTACTGTTATATTATTATTGCATTATTTCTATTATTGTTATTATATTAAATTAATAACACATTAATTTAATGTTTCTCTCGTTGTAGTGATATCATCTGTTGCAACACATGCCTTTCACTCGTATTTCTCCGTCCGCGAATAATCTAAACGACAAATATATTATTCGCTAATTGGTATTAACCAATCGCAATAACTACATTTTTAATCTTTTCCAATCATCAATTATCAGTCTTATTTTTAGCTGCAAGCTATACACATAAGTAATAACTGTTTGGCTAATTAGCAATTTACAAACGTAATTACCAAATGTAAAATTAATTAAATTACATTTGATGATTACCATCAGATTTATTACAATTTTACTCATTTTTTTTCAAAGATAATTAATTTTTACATAAGTAATTTTGCATAAAGACGAAGTCTTACCATACCATACCATAATAGTGGTATGATAGACCTAAACAGACTAATCAAGCTAATAGATAACAGTTACGTTAAAATTTGTTAACTGTACATTTGCGACAAATCAAATGCAGCTGATTTATTATAGTTTCGTTATTATCATATAATGTCCATATAAATGCATGTTACTATTAGATAGATTAATTATTCAGTCGCAATTTTACGTCTCGAAGTCATAAGTCGTAAGAAAGTTTACAGTCGATTATCGCAATTATTAATATATGTGTAACAGTTGTCATCATGCGCGCTATTATCATACTGTTGTTATCATTATCATTGTCACTGTCATTGTGATGGTAGTTGCCATGTTCATTGTTTCACGCGTTATTATATTTTACTATTATTGATATTATTATTGAATAGCGTATTATTACGATTAAATATTGCATTCACATAATTTTCTGTATTTGTGCGTACAAATCATTTCCATAACCATGCATAATTAGCTGAAGATGACTATAAGATTTTAATTGTGTTTTCTGAAAGAACTATACAGTTAAACTTAAGGCGGCCTTAGTATTTATGGTCCTATCATCATGAAATTGCCATTTACATGGCATAACTTTATTATAATGCGACATCTTTCATTCGTGTTATATTTGAAAAATTTTACATAAAAATGCAGGGTAATTAAATTGCTCACCCATATATTATAACGTCTTTTCTAAATGCCTTAAATTATTAAAGAGAAAAATGTTTTGCTTTAAGAGATTTATATTGTAATAAAAGCAATTCTATATTTACCGCACATTTTTTCGAAAATATCAAGACTGCTTCCCTCTTTCTTTTAAATAACAAACGTTAAAACATTGAGACTTTTAAATTTTTGTAATACACTTTCACTTACATTAACAAAAAATGATCTTAACAAGATGAGAATAAAGAACTTTTTTTTATTAATTCATTTTTTAACATGGGCATTTTTTAACATTCATATTTTAGAAGCTTCACCTAAACTTAAATAGAAAGGAAGAACATACACATGGTTTAATTGTTATACACAATGTTTAATTTTTATTGCTCCTGACAGTATGTATAATAATGGCTATAATTAAAACAAATAGTGTTCCTAGCAACCCAAGCAGTACAGCCAGAAGAATTGTATCAATTGTTAACCACGGATCTTCTTCTTGAGTCCACGAAACAACCTCAGTTGTTGTAATTAAACTGCAAACGCAATGAATATTTGATATATTATTTAAGTAAAGATATTTTATATTAAAGGAAACAATATGCGGAAGTCAAGTAAAAAATGAAATTATAATCAGAACTGTGTAACATATTATACTTTATCTAAAATTCATGAATACTTTATTTAAAATACACGAATCTTTGATTAATTTATAAATATTTTGAAGAAATAATAAACACAAAATCTTCTCCTATGGTATTTGATTTAAATAAGAGTTTTTAATGTTTATTATTATAACAATTTGTTCTTATTGTCCAATTTCAATGTTCAGACATACTCTCTCCTCGTCACTTTATATTTTACAATTAAAATATATTTTATGGCTATGCATTTTGTAAAGGATATTTCGATCATGTTTTGCGCAGCCCTGAGTATAATTAGTAATGTGGAATGCCGACGTGCTGGTTTCCATTTCTTCCTCGGCGAGTTCGTCGAAGGACAGCGTAATAGCATTGTCCAGATCCTTTCCCAGTTGTTTGAAGGTGGTTTTGCCAAGCCAATCGGCGAGATCGTTGCGATTTAGCTGCCGAAGTCGATGTACAATCGCCGCGTGCGTCTTTCCCCGACCCTCCTCAGGAGAACTATTCCAATGAAGCAGTTGACGCAGACACGGGATCTCCTCGTCCACCTTACGCTCTTTTATTCGTGGGAATAATTGAACGTTAATTAAATCGTTTGAAGGATGAATAAATCAATCAAAACGATTAAATTAATGAAGAGTCTTGCGATTTAAGTTTACATATAGAAAGAACGATTTTGCTGAATACTTAAAATTTACCTACAGATGTAAAAATAATTTTATTGAATTATTAAAATAATTATGTATGATACTCAAGATGCAGATTACTAGAATGTTAAAACTTTTGCAGCGTTACTTCTTATGCTTGAATTTTCTACTCTCTACATTCTTTAGAATCTCACTGTAAAGAGTAAAAATTGAGCTAGTCTTAAAAAAAGAATGGTTCAATTTTTAATCTTTAAGAATGAGATTCACTCTAAAAGTTTTAGAGAGTATATAATTATAATATTTGTATCTACCTGAATTTATAAATACTTCACCAAAATCGTTCTTTCCAAAATCGTGCATATAACCACGAAAAGGAGAGCCGACCTGCTGCAGCCAAGCTGCTCGGCAAGTCGTAAGTCGTATAATGAAGCGCGGCGATCAATCGCCTACATTCGACCGGGTTTAATCGAGCTGCGAGATACTCCAATTCGCTCAGATTCACGTCTATCGTACCGTGGATTCTTAAGACAAAAATTAACGCGACGATTACAACACAAACACTGATCATCCGCATTTTTCTATCAAACGAGACATTAGAAAAAGAGAAAGAATCGCACAAATAAAAACAAAAGATCATTCTGTTGTAGCATGTGTTTTTATTTCCTTTTAATTCGAGAAGATGTCTCATTTTCGTTGCCTGGTTTACTTATCGATTAATCTTCTTCGCGATCTCATCGTATCTGCCTCGTTTTTCGTCCCTTTTTCTTTTTTCTGTAACATTTGTAGCAGGGAGTCGGTGATGCGGTCTCCAATCTCTCCGCCCTCACCGGTTCCTTTGGGATAATCGGCGCGGTGACTTCCGTCGTCTGTATCAAGTCCGGCGACACGGGTCTCTTCTTTTTTTTCCGTAATTTCTTTCGTCCTTCCTCGATGTCGGAAGGGAAATACTTTCTGAATATATTTTTACACACTGATCAATCGTTTCTCGTATATTTAACCTCGGAATCGTGCTGAGAATCGCATTACAGATAATAGTTTTTTTTAATATACTGACTCCTTTTTCTGTCTGCCTGTCAGCTTATCAATGATCCTCGCACACTTGTTCCTCACGAATAAGGTGCAGCAGCAAGTGCAAATTATAATAGCGATTATAATGCCACCGATGACGTGTATGGACAAGGAGATCGCCTGGCGTCCTAAAATACATCGTGCCGGATACGAATGTCATCGCTCTGGATATCCTTCATTCGACTCACCTGATAAAATATCGTGAATGGTTGCATTGGTATTATTCATTCCTCGTTTTTTCAAGAGTACTCCGTATCATCTTGTCCTATCGTTCCGTTAGTAGAAAACAATAAGAGTAAGCAATTGACATTTCGCGGTTAGGCAAATCGAATAACGCACACTTGGCTAACGTCACGTTTTGTTGATGTTGCACAATGTGAGATTTGATCGATCGAATAATGAAGTTTTCAAAACGATAACAGAAAAAGAAAGGTTGAGAGAAAAATTATAACATATATATCAGATTAATGTGAACGCATTTATCCAATAAGGTTAATAAAAACGAAATTTTAGCAAATTTGAAATAAAATTATAGTCACGAAACTTAGTATTTTCTTATTGCATGTAAAAATAAATTCTTTAATTTTTAAAAAATTTTGGCTTCTTAACTTTATTTAATGTAAAACTTGATGGAAGAACAATTTTTTGCATTAATTTCATACAAGATACTTTATTGTCACATGAACATATATATATATATATGTATATTGTATATATGTACAAATTTCATCACAATATTACATCATATTGATCTCGTTAATCACAACTGTCATTTCTTGAAATGCCAGTATAATATTGAAAAACTGCTAAATCATCGTCGTGCAAAAAGTTATATATAAGTTTCATTAATATCTTGTGAAAAACATATCATTGTCATGATTGATTAAACTTTTCGATAGATGTTATTTTTAAAAAGCGATATATAATATGTGCCACAGGTTTATCATTTACAATTAAAAACTCGCGATTTTGAGCATCTCAATTTGTGTACACCTGAGAGATTTTCAAAAAAATCAAGTCCAAGGTTTTCTTCCAAGCCTCTTGCACCTCTGACGTGTATTGCTTTCCGAATACAGAAGGGAAAGCTTCTAGTATCATCTGTTTCAAATTCTGAAAGATATTTATTACAATTATTTATAATTATTATATCTTAAAATAAAAAACAAATAACATTAATGGTTGCGTTTAAAATAGAAAAATCTGATCAATGAGCGTTCCATAATTCTTTAATAGGATTTATTCTTGTCTTTAGTTCTTCGCTGGATCTAAGTGTAGAAACCGATTATATTAAAGAATCACTGAGCGCCCAATCATATAATCTAAAAAATCACTGATCAGTTTTTTCTGTTGAAAGCAGTCAATATAAATCTGGTAAGTGTTAATTCGCAAGATGAGCAATTATCGACTAATTCCGAAAAGTAATTTTGTGAAATAATTTTATACAGGAAGCACACAAAATTAATTCAATAAAAGATTTAAGATCTTTTTACATCTATAAAAGCCTTTATATCTTAAAAATAAAAAATATATTTGACAAATCATTTAAATAAAAAGATAATAAGAATGGATTAAAGTTTATAAATAAAATTTTAGATACAAAATGTATTTCTATTACGTCATCGGGAAAAGAATATAAAAAATGCAAATTTAAAGATTTACTTGCCTCAAACTGCTGTGGTGTTTGTCCACGAACCTTGTGTTTTTCGGTAAAATTAATCAAGCTCGCTTCCATCAATTCTGGATCGTGCATTTGTTCAATCACTTTACCAAGCGTTGCTATGACATTAACGCAGTGCGCTTGAAATCTCTTGTTTTTCGGCAGTTCATCGAGAGGGACGTCCTTAAACGACTTAAATTCATTTTGACTTTCTGGATATTTTTTGAAAAAGCTATAAAAAATGATTTTAAGTTACGTGTTGAATTCGCGAGCAAAATGAGCAGTTTTGAAGAAATGATTAAAAAGCAAGTCGTTTTAGGGCTGATCCATCGTTAAAATTATATGATATGAAATTATGATATGAAATTAAAAATTAAAGATGTTTATGTTATGCATCAACTGCACAGATAAATAATGAGAGAACGTGATTTCTCGTTATTATTAAAAAGCAGAAGCAGAGCTAACATGGGTGAGCAACTTAAATGAATTATTCTGTAAATACATATGACTTACATTATCATGTGAAAGTTACGAGATTAATTAACTCGAGTTTTCTTAACTCATTATTTTAAAAAATGCTCCATCGTTTTTATACTTTTTGATATAAAACAAGCTTAAGATTTATAACTTTAATATAATTATATCCGAATTTAAATTTAGACTTGATTACATTATTATAAATTGATGTTAGTAATGTAAATATATATTTTGCATTAAACATTATTTATATTATTATAATATTTTTTATTATATAGATGGAAGATAAAACAACACGAAACAGTAACAGCAAAAGTCAATTATTTGCAGGTAATTGTTAAGTTAATAGTATTCCAAAATTACGTGGGTGTGAGATACTTACGCATCAAAACCAAAAATTTTAATTTTCTAGAAAATTTTCCTAAATCCCTGATTCTTCCCTGAATTCGCTGACCGTTTTCAATTTCCCTGATTTCTATTTTTGTGATAACCTTGATATACGTTAGAGAAATAAGCTGTAAATAACTCCTATCGCAAGATAGTCAATGCAATATGATTGTAAGATGTCGCAATAATTTACTCCGGTGTCACATGTGATAATGAAAACAGCGTTGAAATTTTCATAGCGAGCCTTTTGCCGCATCTTTTGCGACGCATCGCGACGCATTACGCATTAGTAAACGCGAATGCTTTCGATGAGACGTGAGGGTGTTAACGACGAGGCCCGTAGTGCGTGACATGGGTTTTTTTATTATGCACCAGATATATACGCTTCGACGAATCATTAAATGAATGGCTTGTTAGAATGCGGAAGTACTTCTTGAGCGAGGAAGCTTCGGCCGCGTTGAAAGAATTTCTTAACATATCGCGGCTATCACTCACAATGAGCGATCTTGCATTAAAATCTTTTATTTCTATCTAATTATCTATTTTTTTTTTAAGTAAGAATAGATATTTCCATTATACACTGAAATATAATTAATATTTTAATAAATATTTAATTAACTAAGGATCCGCTTTAACTGAGAGAGAGAATAGGATTTCTCTTATATTTAATTAGATTTATCTCATCTTTTACGGATTGCGTCGTTTCACCGGTACGGTTATTTCTGTGATCTCTCAATTTGATCGAAGTTACGAGTACTTAGCGAAAAGTGTGTGTGGAGCGGATGAAAAAAACGACAATTCATTCACACTCACGCGAGTAAAAGGGCGACTCCGACTGACACTTCGTCTTTACGAACGATCGCCCATGTGTTCTGCACTAGTCTCTTTTGCTTTTCGGTCAGGCCGAGTTTTTCGTCTAATTTATTGTCGTTCAGAAAGAAATCAAACAGACCACGAAACAATGCCATGTTCGCGTCAGTGTGCGGGAACAGAGCCTGATCTATGGAAAACAATTGCACTGTTGATCAGATGATTATCTCACAAATGATCTCCAATGGGAGACTTATTCTCGTTAAGAATAACTAAAGGATTCGTATATGTGGTATTAATGTTAAATGGACGGTAATTCTTTAATGTTTCTTTTTTGCAAACTTGATCGATCACGATTTAATTCGTGTGTATTCTCTAAATTTTTTGAAATGGAATTTTACTTTAAAGAGTGAAATCTCATTCTTCAAGATTGAAAATTCTGCTACTCTTTTTTTAGAAAACAGTGTTTTCACTTTTTAGATTAATATCTAATGAAAAATCAAACGCAAAAGTGATTTTCAAAGAAAGATGGTGAAATATTTAAATAAAATAGCGTCTACTTTTATATCGTGTCTTAATATATTAATTCTTTCAGATAATTATATTCTCATATTTCTTACAGAAATTCAACATTAACTATTTTACTGAAAAGCAGTATAGTTATAATTATCTATTTGAAGAAATTATTTTAAATATTAAAAAGCAGTGAATGGCATTGCTTTTAATATTTAAAATAAATAATTAATTATTGTCTTTTCTAAAATTATATATAAGCTGTATTAGAATTCTATAAAAAACATAAAGACACTGTACGACACTAAAATATAATAGAAAGACGCGAGAAAATATATCGTCATATTAAAAAAAAATAAATACGTTTTGCACATGAAAACAAGCGTTATCTCTAAATATGCAAATTGCTTCGGTATTATACAAACGACAGTAATCTGGATTTGCGCATTCGTTATAAAAGAGAAAAACGCCCTTTTTAGCACGCAAGACTTGCACGCACACTGAATGTTAACCAATCGAGGATTATTTATTACGCGACACAAACAGATCATTGCAACAGACCGTTTATTTCTCGCGTTCTCCGAGATGAATTAATAAAATTCGCGCGCAAAGATCATAATTGTACGACAAAATATTTAACAGTAAGCTAACAAAGAAAATGGAAGGGGCGACGAATTCATAGCAAGATCAAGCGTTTGTACAAAAGCGACTTTCATTTGCGATATCAATTCAGCCTTTGATAATGCCTTTGAGGCTTCCACGGATATTTTTTATACAGAAGTATAAAAATTCGCGGGCTACCTTCATGGCTGCAGATTCATCATTAGAATATCAACGTTTCGTGAATATTGCAAGTTCACTTCATCACGAGGAACAGCCTGATACGAAATGTTGGCATTCTAATAATGGATCTGAACACGGAGACAACCCGCGAAATGTTCTGCAATTCAGCCTTTCTTTTTCTTTTCGATTTCGGTATCGCAGCAATTGCTTAAATCGCTCGTGAATGAAGAGATAGAGCGTGAAAGATAACTGAGCTAATACCAGAGGCTGAGCGAGGAAGAGAAATGGAGCGGCTGGAAGCACTGCGCGAGCAACTATACGGACTGACACGATGAGGCCTCGTTTATCGAGAATCGTATCAATTACGTTGTAATTCAGTACGATATGTCACGTGCCACGCGTGCTACACTGGTCAAGCGGCGACTACTCGATGCCGGCGGCCGATCTAACTATTTTAAAGTCGTCCCCACTCCACTTCCGGAGATAACCCGCGATGGAGGAATTGCGTTATACGTTTTCATAAGACAAACTCCGTAAGCTGGACTATCTTTAGAAATCTCGATTGAACAATAACAGGAAGTGCATTGCTGATAATGAGAATCAATCTTTTCGACTACTTTGTAAATTGAATCCAGCAGAACGACGACTATATCATGAAAGTTTCGTCTGACGATTTGGAGAGGTAAAAGTGCGCCTTTACATGCATTTAAATATAAATGTGTATCCTTTGTAACATTTTATTTAAATTAAAATTTCAAAAAATGAAATATATCCCTTCTGTAGTATTTTATCATATATTTTATGTAATTTTAATTATATTTTCAGAATTTTTAAGCATAAAAGTTTTGAATAATGTGCGTTTAAATATTTTATATATTTTATATACTATACATGTATATATATATATATATATTTGTTTAAAACATTAATATTAATGTACATAATTTTCATAACTTTCCAATATTTTTTATAAATTAAAAAATCTAGAACTCCGACATTTTTTCTCATAACTGTATTATTTTTATATTTGATAATAAAACTTATTAGAAATTAATACTCATACAGCAAAAAATTTTGCAGCAGCGTTATTGCAACATGTGCATTGTTACTACAATATTACTATTGTATAAAATAATGACTTTTTATCTTTTGTTCCTCACTGAATCCAAGTATATAAATATTATAAATCAATCATATTAAAAGAAACAGTTGCGAAGCTGCTTCTTTTTTTAATATAGCCATATATATATAAAGTTCCATTGCACTACATTAATGACTACAATATTATTGGAACGATCTATGTTGTATGGATATATTAGGACAATTAAAAATATCAAGATTAACGGGATTATATTATTATATACATATACCTCTATTTATAAATATGTATCACACAACGCAGTTCTCCAAAGAATTTAAGAACGTTCAAAGGACGTTTATATCCTAAAGATGTTTCCAGGATGTCCCTCGAAAAAGTGCATTGTGTGGAATATATGTATACAACTGGATAATCTCCACTTCAAAATTAATTAATTCTTTTCCAAAACGATTTAAATCCAGAAAATTTTGATGAATATATACATATAACTAATAGAGTGCGTTCGGGGAGACGCTATATTAGCGCTATTTGTGTGATTCATCGTTCATCAGACGTGAAACAAGGATAGAAAATGACATAAATGGTGCTAAAATAATGGCGTCTCTCTGATTGCATCCATAGCAAAATTATTCTTGCACGTACTTGATGATGATCGCGCGTTATTTATTGACCTATCGTTGCAACTTGCAGCTCGAATAGTAGGGGACGATTTGTAATGGCCGCCAAGCTCGTAGAAGTGAAATACCACACGGTGTTTATGTTACGGTGAAATATATTTCCGAGATAGATTCCTCACATGCGATAATTTCACTTTTAGATGTTCGCGAAAAACACAGAACGCTTCGAACGCGAATCGTTTCGCGACATCGATGCGACTAGCGTGACGCGATCCGAGGCGCGATCCATGACTGACCGGGATTCGAAATGTATCGAAGTCATTGCGATTCTCGAAAGTCGAAGCGGCAGGTAAATCGCGACAATCGGGCTATGTTCATTCTAATCACCTTTTTCGCGCTCGGTATGAATTAAAATGATCATATGCATTTGGCTCTAGTATTATTCCATGCATTTAACTCTATTAAAATAAACAAAATGATGTCAAGGGCGATTAAAGAGTCAGTAATAATTTTCGTTTCACAATAAAATATATAATCAGTCATTTTCAATAAAATTAATTCTAACACTACTCAACATTAAATCGTCTAACAATCATATAATACAATTAAAATAGAAATAAGCATTAATATAAAAAAATATATAAAGAACGTTACAAGTCGTTACTCTATCGTTACTCTATTAAAATGTCGGTCATTTTAAGCAACAATTTATAATCACATTGTATGGAGCAGAGAGAAACCTGAGAGTGGACATCTTGGTCTTTTTCGTATACCAAATCTCATAGGTTATAATGTCTATGTTTTTTTTTCGTGGTTCTTCTCCCTATACTATTATGTGGATTAGACAAAGAGGAATAACCAACTTTGATGGTTCGGTCTTGTCTAACCCACGTTAGTATGAAGAAGAACCACAAAAACGTGGACATTATACCTTATGAGATTTGGATACGAAAAAGGCCAGGATCAGGTTTTTCTCTGATATAAGTTAATATGGTATTATACGTAAATATAATTTATTAGATACTATTGATTCGATTTTTTGTACATATATAGAAACAATAAAACTATCCAATATTAATAAGTAATTTTAATAACAAAATAGTACAGATATACTGCTTAATAAATTAATTATCAATTAAATTAGTCAAAGATCAATCGAAGTCGTTAAGAAATGTCGTGTGCCAATCGAGAAGGATTGAAGCGATTCAATAAACTCGAACAACGATATTGCGATTCTCGAAGTAGCAAACGTAAATACGTTTTTTTTTAGCGACATGGTGCATAGATAATCACACTGAACTGGTAATTTATTCTCCAAACAAGAACAATTTTCCATTTAAAAAGAATAAGGAGTTGAAGAAACTGTAAATAAACTGTCATTTATCATAACTATGATTTATTTTGGCATTCATATTTCTGTGATTATATTCATCTTACGTTTTTAAGGTTAATTTTAAATATGACTCTTCTGACTTTTCTTTTATTACTTTCTGTGTGTATTATCACCGTTATCTTACTAAAAGATAAGATCAAAATATCATAAAAGATGCAAAATTTTCTTTTTTTTTCTTACTAAAAAAGATAGTCTATTCCTTTATATTTAGTTTTAAAATCGTTCTGTGATACAACAAGAACTCAATTAAAATCTTAATAAATTGATGTGGGCTTGGATGTTTCTCGTTTCAGTATTAAATGAAGAAATTATAAACTTTACAAAATTTTTTTTAAACATATAATATAATTAACAGTAGGTTATGTAGACATGTATAAAGGCCTCATAATTTGGTATAAATTTTCAGTGATCTATTTAAGCAGGTCAATATTTAGAGCATAACAATGAATCCAAATTTGGTGGATCGTATTCTGAACATGTGCAAATCAACTGAACCACTCAAGATAAATCTGCCAGTTCCCTCTATTAAACAACACGTAAATAAAGATGTATTATATCAAGAATTTGATTCTCATGATACTGGCCAATGTAGTAAGGAATCAGAAACAGAGTATGTAAAGGAATATATACATAAAGAAGAACAAAACTATCTACAGGTGATAAGCATTAAGATATAAAATATATCACTCTACATTTTATATGTTTTACTTTATTGTTCTTTCTTTTTTTTACAGATGAAAAACAGCATGTTTTCCAACAATGACAATCACATAGACAACATATCAGAGATATCTGGAGAAATAGCAATTCGTAAGGAAGATACTATTCGGCTTTACCAAACGTACAACTTTGCTTATCGGCCCAAAAATAATTTAGCTATTCTGTCTATGAGAAATAAAGTTGTGTCTATGATTGCGAGTAATTCTGTTGTCATTATTCGTGGTTCCACTGGTTGTGGGAAAACGACACAAGTGCCACAACTTATTCTTAATGCAGAATTTGAAAAGATGCAACACTGCAATATCATAGGTATCTAGATTACACTATCTACATATCTATAGTAGAATATTTATACACTTAAATTTTCTTTTCAAATTATTTGTATTTCAATTTTATTAATATTTTATCATATAATACAAAAACTTTTCTATTTTGTAGTAACTCAGCCAAGACGCATAGCTGCCATGAGCATTGCAAAACGGGTAAGTCAAGAAAGAGACTGGCCTGTTGGTACACTTGTGGGGTATCAAATGGGTTTAATCAAGAATGTAAACCGCGACACTCGCATAACGTATTGCACAACTGGTGTGCTTTTAAATAAGCTTACGAACAAGAAGCATATGATGGATTATACTCATGTTATATTGGATGAAGTACACGAACGCGATGAAGATATGGATTTCCTTCTGTTGATAGTAAGGAAGTTATTACGTACAAATTCTCCGATGGTTAAAGTTATACTGATGTCTGCGACAATTAACGTGGATAAATTTTCTGCATATTTTTCGACGCCCTTGGAAAATAAACTTATACCTGCGCCGATCATTGATATACCCAAAGGTGGCCCTTATGAAATTTCTGTGTATTACTTAGATGAGTTAGACAATTTGGGTGTTGTAAGTATATATTTTTTGTACAAATATAATTAAGTCATATGTATAAACAAAATGAGTACGATCATTGTCTACTTTAAAGATGGAGAGAAAAGAAAATATTACATGTTAACAGGATTTTGTATTTTTAAAGTAGAGGTTTCTATGCTTTTTATTATTTTTCAAATATTGTTTCATATTGAATAAATTTTTGCTAATATTTTAAAGGTTTTGTATGTAACTTAAAATAAGAATATTACTAATCAATAATTGACTTCACTTCCTCTTTTTTTCTTATTTTGATTAATGTGATTAATGGCATTAATGGAGAAGCAATCATGGAAAATATATTGCCTTTTTGTACAGGTACCTGAAGTACCCGAGGAACCAAAATTCATGATCTCTGTAGCAGAATTTGCTGCACGTGTTATAGAAATTTTCGACAGTATTGACAATAAGAATGATGCTCCAGATTATGAATTTGAAAGGCCCGCTGTGCTAGTATTTTTACCAGGATTTACTGAAATCGAGGAATTACGTGCTATACTTCTATCAGAAAGATATACGGATACACAATGGGATATAATTATTTTACATTCGTTTATCTCAACTGAGGAACAAGAAAATGTATTTAAGAAACCACCGAAAAGTTATCGGCGTATCATATTATCAACAAACATCGCTGAGAGTAGCATTACGGTACCCGATGTTAAATATGGTATGTTATATTGAATCAAGACTGAGCGATATTTGTTGAATTAATTTTACCTCTGTGAGTCAATAGAATTACTATATATAATTCTCATTTCCTTTTTTGTTCAGTGATTGATTTTTGCTTGACAAAACTTCTTGTCATGGAACCTGGAACTAATTATCAATGCCTGCAACTTTGTTGGGCAAGCAAGTCAAATTGTCAACAACGTGCTGGACGTACAGGCCGTGTAATGGATGGTAGAGTATACAGAATGATACCAAGAAAATTTTACAAAGTGAGTAGTTTTACCCCAAAATGACGTTTTCAATGTTTCGACTTTAATTCTTCGCAGAGTCTGTAAATCATATCTTGAAAATTACAGAATGTGCTAAACGAAGAATGTCTTCCGGAAATACTCAGAGCTCCGCTTGCGAATGTCGTTCTTAAAACGAAATTGCTGGATATGGGCGAACCGAAAGCTCTTCTCGCACTTTCTCTGGATCCACCTAATCTTAGCAACATACGGGATACTATATTGTTATTAAAGGAAGTTGGTGCATTACTTAATAGAGGTACACACGAATTTGATGGGGATATAACGCCTTTGGGTCATATAATGGCCAATCTTCCGTTAGACGTACACGTAACGAAATTGGTTATCCTGGGTCATGTTTTCGGCATCCTGTCGGACGCAATTATTATTGCGGCTAGCATGACCGTTAAAGATATATTCAATATTGGATTTCACGAATTACAGACAACCTATTACGAGAAAATGCATTGGTCCGCTAAGTCCGACAGCGATAGTATAGCCTGCTTGAATGCCTTCAAAGTGTGGCAAAATGATAAAGTAAATCGTCGTATAAACAGTCATAATCAGGAAAAAGAATGGGCGCGAAAGAAGAGTCTCCGCGTGAGATCGCTACGCGAGATGGATGCCTTTATAAGTGAGATAAAACATAAGTTGTATCACTTCGGCATAAAAGAAACTACGGGTCCTGAAAGAATCACTTGGGAAAGTCTCTTTATCGATCGATATTTTGTACTCAAATTCATAATCGCCGGTGCATTTTATCCTAATTATTTCATCAAATTTCCATATAATGTAAACGAACGCATACAAGAGATAGAGAAGATGTTAGCTCTTCGCGATCCGGTGAATACCATCATCCTACGAGGCTGGCCGACGAAACAGCCTGGGTCACTGTACTCTAAGAAGCTCCAGGAAATCTTTGGACAGCATGTGCTCGTAGATTCCAAAGACTACGAGAACATAACTGTATCCTTCGATGGGTCAAATCGCATTTATATCGAATATGAACAAAAGAATCGCGTAATGGCAGATTACAATTTTGTTCGGAATTGTATCAAACTTAGACAATGTCGGATGCCGATCCAAATAAACTTATTAAATCACAAAGATGCTTGTTGCATAGCCGAAGATCTTGGGCTTACGAAGGATTATGGAAGACTTGTGTTTCAACAATTTGCCAAAGAGAACGAATTGCCAAGCAGACGATACATGTACGACAAAAAGCCGTATCCGGATTTACCGGAAAATTACAAATATCAATCCAAGGTGACATTGCAAGGTCCCCTTTCGCCGATAGAAGTTAGACTTGTTCATATGGTGACTAAGGGAACAACAAAAAGGGTGAACGTGGAAGCCACATCAGTCAATTCCGTTCTTCTTGATACCTGTCCGGAAAATCCAAAAGGAATTTTTTTGATAGCGCAAAACATCATTCGAGATTCTAAGAGTATGGATAACCTGACTCTACGGAACACAACCCTCTTACCCACTACACCTGGTCTCATATCGCTAATCACTTTAATTTTTACACCATATATGGAACTGCGACGTAGTCCTTTGGGCACTTATTACACAGGTGCTCTATGTGGACTGGGATACAATCGTATTACAGGGCAAAGCTTGTTTCCAGATCATGATTTAGAAGTTATGTTTGACGTCGAAATTGCGATGAATGATTTACGAATGGTACGTTGTTTGATCTAAATTAAATCATACTACACGTTGCATGATACATTCAGACATATTCGATCTGAGATTTTCTTTTGTCTGTATTTTTATGTAAGTAATTAAGATATTCATGAATCATGAAAATTTTGTTGGCAGATTAACAAGTTACGCCATTGGATGAATGTTGCTATGCACTTCAATGTCAGATCTGAAATTGTAGACGATAATACTCATCATGATATAATTGTAAATTGCCAAAATCAAGTTAAAAATGCATTCAAAGATGTAATATATAAAACCCGTAACAAAATAGAGCCAGTTCCAATCAGTAATTTTGGCAAATGGAACCGATATGATGAGACTCTATTTCTCGTGCCTGCTCGAGAAACATCGAAGAAAAGTAATGTCTATGGTTTACACAAAGCATTAGAATTAAATGATAGGAACGATAATCTGGAAGAAATGATTAGACATCTGTTAGAATTAGAGGCTTTAGCTCATCAGTAAGTGATACATCATTAATAATATATTCTATTAAATTTGGACCGTTTAAAATACGTTGGTATTTATTTATATTAATATCTTGTTATTTATTTATATTAATATCTTAATTATTTATATAATATTAATATCTTGTACTCTTTCTATGTACAGGGAGCCAAATGAGACGAGTATTATACTCATTTATTGCAAACTGTGTTTAATAGAAGTACGCGGCATTATCAACCTTCGTGCACATTTGTGTTCGGAGCAACATATAACGAAACAACAAATGATAGATACAACTTCCGAATTTGGAGAAAATCTGCAGAATATTCTAGACCAACTGAGGCTATAAATAAGTAAATTTGCATTTGCGTTTAATTATTTCTTTTGTTATTTTGTAATTTTATTTTATACTATAACTTGTATTTTATAAGTTGATTTGATACGATATCATATTTTTTTTACTTATTGTATGAATAGTAATAAAAGTCAGGTTAATTTGTAACTAAATGATAAGTTGTGACAATGTTGTAATTCATTATACATATATCTAGGAACTTACCCCCGTATTCATAGTCAGACCTTATACTTAAGGCTTCCTTAAATTTATCTTCAGATGATTTACGAATCATTTTATTGAGTATCTACTGAGTATCTAAAGATAAATTTAAGGAAGCCTTAAGTATAAGGTCTGACTATGAATACGGGGGTTAATGTTAATATAAGATATAAGAAGTAATTATTTTTTTCTTATATAGAGTATTTTTTTTCTTTTTATTTTTAGTTTACAATTGAGCATATACTATCTTTTTTATTGTACAATTACAAATTTATTTACGTATTAAATTGAATTTTTTGTCGAACAACTACAGGCTTTTTATATGTTATACAATGTATAATAATATACATATATAT